GTACGTGTCGTTTTTTGACAAACTTTTCGTTAAACTAGTAAAGAACGATTGCCACTCTGCCGGGAGAGAAACTTAAAAACTGATCTTTTTTCCTCCTGGAAGATTATTTTGCTGGCAGATGATCTTCTATGTCTCTATCGCAAAAGATCAGCTTTTCTGTCTGGTTCGTGTTTTCTATTCCAAGAGCCAAGAAAAAAGTTATCTTTTCATGTAAAGTTTTCTACAACTGAATCTTTGAGATTCCAGTGTAATTAACGACATGATTTTTCTGTTCCTCCTTTTGACGCTCCTCGCCTTGTTTCGTTTTTGTCATTTCTGACCAACTCGAAACATTTTTATTTGCAATGTACTTTGATTTTCGACGTTTACTCCCTCGTTGAGTCTATTGCCAATAAATATCAGGTTTAGATAAAAGTTCGGTGCACAAAAGAACCGTTTTCGTGGGCTCTTGTGTTAAAAAATACTTGCTCCCTTCTGCCCTTGGCATTCCCTGTTCATAGTAGTAATAAGGCATTAATAATAATAATAATAATAATAATAATAATAATAATAATGATGGAATTTATATAGCGCTTATACATCGCTGTTCTAATTAATAGTTAATAGTTAATAGTTTTCTTTTGTTCTTTGTAGCGAAGTTTTGGCGATTTCTTCAAAAGTTAAGAAAGATTGCTTTAAAATGGTAAGTAGACAGCTTTAGTACCTTGCGCGTAAAACATTAAACAAACTGGTACAAAACCAACCTTCCTCATTAGGTTTTGGGAAAACGAAGTGAGAACAAGTGGTTCAGTCAGTTTTGACCTAAGAAGACAGAATTTTCAGTGATGTATTCTTACGCTCATTTCCATTGTATACAGTGTATGTGCAAAAAGGGTTAGTAGAGGTCATGGAAAACCTGGAAAGTCATGGAATTTAAGACTTTCATTTTCTAGGCCTGGAAAGTCATGGAATTCAATTGTCGGTCCTTGAAGGTCATGGAGAATTAAAGTTTTGTTTGATGGATTAGTTACTGCAGGTGACAAGGCAAGGACAATGAAAGATGAAGAGGAGTAATTAAACAGCGCAAACGCCACGCATTTTTGCGAACACCAGAGTTTGTGTCTGTTGAACTCTTTAAGGTCCAAAAATACCCTAAAACAAGGAAAGTGTTTTAAATTTTTGAAAGCGACAACTAAACCTAAGGTCTTGGAAATTTTAAAAAGGTCATGGAAAAAGTCATGGAAAGTCATGGAATTTAAAGAGCCCAAAAGAATACGAACTCTGGTGCATGATTCACACAGTTATTCTAATGATAAGGCAAACATTTTTTCTGTAATTTCAGGTTCATTTACCGTCGCTCACTGTTTTTTCCAATTGGCCGACTTCACGCACTCCTCTTAGATACGTGCACACGTTCGATTTTTCGCCAAACAGCGGTTATCTTTCTATTGGTAACGATCGTGGGAAAGCGTTACTCTTTAGGTAAGTTTTTACCTTTGCGTCACGCTACTTAATAATTACAGAACAATACACACCTCAGATGCCAACCAGCTGAATCTGAGCGATAGAGGAGCTTGATGTTGCCTTTTTCATTGTTTCTTCGATGAGAAGTTTGCTTTGCTAATTCGTTGAGTCAGAGCTTTGTTAAATACGATGTAAAAAAAAAACGTTCCCAGAGTTTTTAGATGGTAGAGTATTAGTTCAGTCTTGTAAATAGTATAGATGTTATTTCAACCAACAAGGCATCTGTTTTGCAAGTTTTAAATGGACTTGGAATTTGCGAGCCTTTTTCTTCAGCAGCTGATTCCTGCAAAGATGAACTATTTTGCATTGGTATTGACGTAGTCACACAACGGTCGAGTCCCTGCACCAAGAAGCTACCCGTTTCTAAACACGACACATTTATTCTTGTTGCTTTGAGCAGGTTAAAGCACTACAAGGACTCGTGAAGGATGGATGTGATCAAAGGTTAAATTACTTGCAATCCACACTGGACGTGAGTTACTGACCAAGCATTCACTCTACTGAAAGACTGCGCTCCCGTAAAGTTACGAAGCAAAGTGAGGTTGTGACGTCATAATGACGCAAGAAAGCGAAAGCGCAGTATGCGTGCGTCTCTTACCGAGTTTACCGAGTTATGGAATAAAGCCCTTTCTCACATATCACTGGTAGCCATACCAAGCCGACCGCCGCAGCCTGACCGTTATTCCAAATTCGTAAAAATGTACACATAACATACCCCTAGAAAGGTGGAACACTAACAAAATTATAAAGTTGCATATTACATTTAAACAGTCTACAAAACTGAAATCTTAGGGTGGGAGGGTGGAAAGGTCAGTAATAGTAATCGCAACAAACGCAACTGCCCGCCTTTCGGTCACATGACCTATACCCAGGTCCCCAGTGTTGTGTGCGAAAAACATTTTCCACTTATTTCGTTACACTCAGCCTGTAGAAAATTACCCTTGACTATGAGAATCGCTTTTTACTGTTTTGAAGAATCATGTATATTTATTTTAACTTTGAAGTCCTTGTGAATTAGAAGATATGTAAAACTTTGTTCTAAGTTTTTCAAAATGCGATCATATCGGTTTTTAAATAGTTAAAATGTTAACTGTGAAACGTGAACTGAAATCATTGAAAGCCAGTTTCCTGTAATGTTATTTATTTTGCCTCCCACCTGGCTTGAGAAAGTAACAAATAAAGAAGTGTTTAAAACAGCTCAACTTCCACTCGTAGATTAGCCTTTGTACAGACCCCACCTCCCCTTCCAAGGAAACGTCTAACTTGTCTAGGACATGTGTTTCCTATGTCACCAACGACGCTCTTTCGCAGACTTCGAATTCCCCACTGGGGAAGGAAGAGGGATAAGGAGTCAGATAAGAAGTCACACGTGCGAATCAAAGGCAAGAAAACATGATGTAAACTTGTTTTCTCACACTTATCCGTCGCAGCACTACTGATGAAAAGCAGAGAATTAAGCCACTGGAATCATAACACAACAGCTCCGACTACATGCACAGTTGTTATGAGTGCTTTGCTTTCTTTAGTAAATCTTTTCTACTCCTTGCTGTGGAAACTGTCCGGCTTCGATGTTATTTTTTTGTCGTCACGTTTCTTGATAGAACAGCGCGTTACAAACTGAAATAAGGGAACGGATGAGATGGAGGGACATGGTATCAATAGACAATAGTTAGATTTTTGTTTTGGACGAGGGAGCGAGGAAAGCTCAATAAGAAGCATGCGTTGGAATAGTTCAGTTTCGAATTAAAAATTACCGCTGAATACAAACATTAAGGACACATTCATACAGGGTTAACCTCGACACAAAGTAAAATATTCAGAAATTCCGGCAAGTAAGTGTTTGAAATTTGAATAGAAACAATAGACAGAGTAATAAACAGGTCTTTTTCTTGTTGGAATTTGTGAATTTATTACTTCAGATGGAGGCTAAGCCTGTAAAAATGCGTCTTCATAGCGAACTCGAAACTGGACTATTGTGAATACGCTATGTGGCAACGCGACCGCGCGCACTGGAACGAGTGTGATGAGTGCTATGGTTATTTCCTTGACATTTGCATGCATTTCAAAAAATGTTTTCATTAACACGTATCTAAACGTGTCCAACTCAAATTGTTTTTAATATGATTTCAGGCGTTGAATATTAAAGAACTCGATGAAAAATCCTGCAATGGTATAACATGTTCATAATATGGTTGTGTCGTTAGTTTCCTCAGTCCCAATTACACTATTAAACTATATATATGTATTTATCCCGGTTTGATTTCTGAACTGATGTCCTTTCTCTGTCTGATTCTTCAGCTTTCGGCAGCAACTTACTGCAAAACAGAATGGTTATAATAAGTACACAGATGTTATTTATTTAAAAGAACTTTTTGCTGATATCATTACTCTTTTAGGTTATCCTTCATATATGGATATTTGAGTGACCCTTATTCTTTCTAATTTGCTCGAAAGAAGTAGGGAGGTATCATTTTATAAACCTCCGTAAAAAGGCTTCCCGAGCGTCAGAGAGCAAAACGAGGCGTGAGATAGGGAGGGGAAGGTTCTTCCTCCCTCCGTCCCCTCCTCATTTTCGTGTCTTTGTTTCAATTTTTATGCTTTGTTCGGAGGAGAATGCTTGCATCCTATGCAAGCTATTATTATTTTACTTGAAGGGGTTAGTTTCATAACAAACCACTGCTTAGTGTGTCGGAGTGGGGAGTGAATCACAGAAATTTGGTTCTATCAGTTGAGTCCAGTGAAGAAAGTCAATTCAATAGTGCAGTGATTTAGCCTCCCTCCTCGCAGACGTTCTTTTCGTTCGTCACGCAGTCCTATTAAGTCAACGTCTGCCTGCGTTGGAGGCAAATAGTGGTTGAAAATTGACGTTTCGAGCACTAGTCCTTTCGTCAGTGTGAATTAAGAGAGCAACCTCGTCCCCAGGGCTTTTCCCTTAAAAAATGTGTGTACGAGGGGTCACGTGACCAGCCGATGCCAGGGCCTTTTCCCGCCCCACCCATTTTTTAAGGGAAAAGCCCTGGGGACGAGGTTGTTAAGAGAGGGAGGGATTGTGGGGTTGTGTGTATCGAATGGTGGAGTATGGCTATTGGCGGAAATATGGTAACACTGATGTAAAGAAGCAAGGATATTGATAATAAGTAATAATAATGATTATTATTTGTATTGTTTATTTCGGGTTTTAGAATTCGAAGGTGTATGTAAAGAAAGTGGTGTCTAAAAGGATTAAACAAAAGAAAAAATACTGAATGAGAGCCTATTGGAAATTTTCAGAAAAAAGAGTCAATAAGGAATGTCATGTTTGAGCCTTGTTTTTAACTCGTTTTCACCCCGTGATGTTTTGTGCAGTCAAATTGTACTTGAATTTTTTGTAATCAAAAAACACTGTTTGAAATTTCGATTTGTCATGGCACTTAGCGAACGTCATGCTTTCAAAGATATCTTATATTTGATATGATACATGCTTTTCATTTGAATCTATACCCACCATGAAGCTTGCATCATTGCGAAAAATCCATGATGATCATTACCGCTGCCTCTTTCACCGCTGTAACCAATTTCGCCGACATCACCATCGCCACTATCGTCACCTTCGTCGTCGTCTCCGTGACTTCTAGGACACCGAACTTTGCACTTGTCAAAGTTAAAGAACATTTGCTTATCAGGTCGCATTGTAGGAGAGAGGCATCACCTATCCATTGATTACCGTATACAAAGTCGTGTCATCCGCGAAGAGCCGTAGATAAAAATCAAAAGTCACGGGGGAATGAAGTCCTCACTATGCCAGACTCATGACATTGATATCTTGGGTAACCTGTGCTCCCAAACTAGTTTCCAGGTACGACAAGGAACTCGACCAACAGAAGCAGGCGCCATTTTGGATTTTGTGTGGACATGTGAGTATGAAAGGTAGATCGATCATCCAAATTCAGGCAAGTCGCCGGCAAATTCTTAGTAATATTTCTTCTTTAATTAGGGCTGAATATTGGAAGTCTCAACCCAGGAAGCTGTGTGAGTTTTGCAAGTGTTGGATTACAGACAACAAACCGGTATTTAAACTTTTGGCTAGCACCAGAGAAGTTTAAATCCAATATTAACTAGTTAATGGTTGATTTGAGGTGATATTTGGACCGATAATTGATCTGAATAGAGATTTTTTAACCTGTTTGCATACATCTTAATCTCGACACCCCCTCCTTTACTTTTTTTAGCCTCAAATTTATTAGGACACAAATAATTTCATCTAATTACAGGTCAATACAATAATGTTTGGGTGATCATTGTCTTACTGTTAGGAGAAATGATACTGATCAGGGCTAGGGCATAATGGGTTAAAATACTGCAACTAAGCACACACAACAACAACACCGAAACCTTTAAAGATTGTTATGTTATTTTGTAAGTTGTAAACATTGCATGTTCTTGTGTATGTGTTTTATGACGTTAATTTTTACCAGTTATGTATGAGATGCTGCTCCTCTGCTAGTACAGTTAAACCTTCATGTGCCACTGCTTCTCTTATCAACCACCTCCTATAATTGCGACCACTTATCCAAAACACCAAAATTTTCTCAGTCAAATCCTTATGGTTCCTTATGGAACCTCTTGTAAATGCCCACCTCTCGTAAGCGACTGCAACCACTTCTTAGGATGATGGTTTTAGAATTTTCCCTTGTTTGTAATCTCTTCTAAGTGACTGTCTGATCTTTGTGTTCACTGTATGTGTTATGCCACTCAGAGTATGAGAAAAACTTTTAGAAACAACATGGATTTACATTATGTTGTAACCTAAAAGTTGTATGCAATACATCCTTTCCAAAAAGTACATGTCATCTCTTACAGGTGGACTCTTGTAAGCAACCACTATCTCTTCTCATTTTGGGTGGTTGTTTTGGGTGCTGTAGCTGATTTTCTTTACTAGGTCTCATGTAATTAGCAATAGCCTTAGGACTATAGAGCAAACCATTGAAATAATACCCCTAACCCTCAGAACAAATGGTAAAGATGAAAAGCTTCTTTTGCGATCATCACCAAGTGATGGCACTGCAAAATGTCTCAGCTATTTAAAAATCACATTTCCCGAAAGTGTCCATACCGTTGTCCAAATTCAATGAAGATTCCCACAGGGTTAATCCATACTACAGAATACTTTCCCTAAATATGCAGATGTACAATGGTTTGTTCCCTAGATGAGTATAACAAACATTTACTACTTGGGTAAGGATCACATTTGGAGCTTTGAATTTGGTTTTCATGACACCATGCATTTTTAATGATTTTGACACCATGCAGCTATTATTGATAGTGTTTTTAATAGATTTACTTTATAAAAACCTTATGTAGCTATTGGAATTGAGTGCTATAAAAATGTGTTATTGTAATCCTTTGTTAGAGAAGAAAATATATTCTTCCTGCAAACATTCGCTAACTGATGCCTTTCTTTGTCACTTTGCTTTAGAGTGTAGAGTTTCATGAGAGAGGCAAGAAACACAAAGAAAATGTTCAGAGAAGAATTGAAGAGGTCAGTGAATAATTGCACATGAGGTAGTTATTTTTAAAGAAATTTGGCTGCTGCATCAGTTTAAGAGTAGGAAAACAGGTGTCAATGACATGTCCTATTCAGTCAGTGTTAACAAAAATCCTATTCAGTACTACACTCATCCATACCTTCTTATGAGGTGTCAACTATGGTACATGTAATAAAGATCATTAGCCACCATTGTCACCATTGGCTTTTGATTCTGGGTGTCCAAATAGTGGCTGGTCATCAGTATGAAACTGCATGTCATGAAATTAATATTTGCACATTGTGTCCCACGTGGGAAAAAGTTAACTTTTGAGGTGCACAACATTTTGCTATATTTTGTGTAATTTTTGCTTCGTTTAATTTAGATTTAAATTTCTTACATTTTCATAGGGTAACTAAATGTAAATTTTTTCTTTAAGGTGGGAAATAGCCTCTTGATCACAAAAGATAAATTTGTAGTTAGTTCATTCTGTTAAGGTGTAGTTTATTCGTTTCTTTGGAGTTTATTATTTTGTTTGCAATGTTAATTGTTTGCCACAGGTTAGGAAGAAAAGTAAAGAAGTTGGCAAGGCTGAAAAACAACTGCAAATGGACCTTGCAGCTATTGAAGCAGTTAGTCTACATTTTATTAATACTTCTATTTAAATATTTCTTTCTGTAGTTTTATGCATTGGCTCTGTTATTGACCTGACATACATTTCTTTCACTGTTCATCACTGTTATCGCTCATAGATACTTAGTTAAGTGTCTTAATACTGTTTATTAAAGATGCACTGGGTAAAAGACAAGTGTGGGCCTGTTTTTGGTAACTGAATACTTGAAACTGTTATTGGCAAACCTTAAAGGTGATGTCATCATGATGACCATTATAAAAAGGTCACCTCTATTATATATTAGTTAAAACCAGAGTGGTCTATCATCAATGCTGCGTTCTGATTGGTTGAGCTACTACTAGGCTATATGTTGTAGCCCACTAATAGCGAAAAGCGCCGGCTTTGAAAACCAAAACAAAGGCGGCTGAATCGCATTTTGCTAGCTAAAGTTGTTTTGTCTTGATATTTTTGACCAACTAGTTGGATTTTACTAAAACAATAATTGTTTTAATAATTATTATTCCTCTTGCCCTCATGGCCTCTGAGCCCATTCGGGCTCGAGGAATAATTGTTAATTAGTCAAGAGGTTTGACTGTACTAATGTGATGTAGACCGTGAGCCAGCATTGTTATCTGGCTGCAGGGTTGGGATTTGAATTTGTTATCTTCTTTCCAGGCAGCTGTCATAGTGGTGAAAATATCTTGCTTGACCTCTAATCACACAACATTCAGTTTCTTCTTAAACTTAAACTCAAAGGTTAAGAATAAAGCTAGTTATCTTCGAAGAAAAATGTCATAATTTTATAAATTTTAATTATTTTTTCCTTGATCAGCATGATCATAATAAAAAGAAGTATTTATATCTATTACTGTATTTTGAAGAGTAAATAATGGTTTTTTAAATAAAACTTTTAGGTAGACTTAAACTTACTAATCCCTTTGTAATAAGTGTGATTTTGTTTTTTCACTCGTAGGCTGCCCTTAAGGCTTATCAGAAAGATCTGAATATACAAACTCCTTCCTCCAAGTCTGAAACCACAGAGGAGTCTACGACTAAAACAGCAGAAAATGAAACCTGTTCTAAAGGAGAAACTACTGCAGGTATGTGTGTAGTTTTTAAGAAAAAAAAAGAATGTTGATTTTAGCTTATTTTAATTAAAATAGTTTGACCTGTAATAAAAAGAAGTGTAGGTTGAATTTTAGTTTTATTGTTTTTCCTTCATTAAAAAATTTTAACAAGGGATACACAAATGCAAAATTGAACCACAACATAATAAAAATAATAATTAAAAATGCTCTACGTTATTTCCTTCTTGAAATCATTGTTTTCAAATCTGCAATGTCATTAACTTTATTTTGCATACAATTCAATTTGGCCTAAGATTTTTTTCTTTTTATCCAGGTTTGGCCATGACATTAATTTGACAATTAAGCTTGATGTGAATTTTTAGTTGTTCTAATGTACAATGTTCAGTAGACGTTGGTGGATGGTTGTTAATTTAACTGATTCTTTCGCAGCCAATAGTCAGTCAAGCATTTAACTTATATATAGGTCTTCATATTTTATTATTGACTGGTTATTACTATACAATGACCTTATTGGGGGATTAAATCTGATGGTGACATGATACTTGACCAAAATAAGAAGTGGCCAGACATCAGCAAGAATACACTCATTCTGTTGTTCAATAATATTATACCAGCCAACCATGAAACAATGGTCTGACAGTGTTAGTCCCTTGTTGTTGTTATATCAAACCCCATGCACTTCCCACTGTATTTACATGATTTGGCTAACGGTTGTAGGTAAAACCAATCTCATGTTAAAACAATATTTAACCTAGTTTGGCTCAGACAACTTTAATTTAGGAAACTCTAGTATAACGAGAGAACAGATTTTTCCTTCAACTTACATACCACCTGAAATTGGACTTACTAAGTGGACAGGCAATGTGTCAACAGACTGTACATCAGCCCTTTGCTTCGTTTAAGACACCTTTGAACATGTTTGTGTTTCTTGCAGCCTGCTTTGTTTCATATGAAGGTAGTTTAGCCACTATGACCTGCACTCATGGCTGGAATATTTGGCAAACACCTGAAGGCTATTATTACTATTACAACACAGCAACACAAGGTACAATGTAACAAACTTTTGGAGATTATTGATAACTTTATAGACAGTACTAGCTGAACTGAGTACAGTGCAGTTTAGAAAAGTTAGGCCAACTCTGGACTCCTGTAACTACAGCTGACAAATTACCACTCTTAAAAATTGGGCTTTGAGCTTTTCAGTATAATAAAGGCTAACATTAAATATGGAGCTGGGCTGCACTCTCCTGTGTTCTGTACTGTATGATTACATCATTGTTCACAACAAAAATTGTCTGGAGGCTGCCTGGTTGGTTGTGTGCAAGTATAAGGTGGTTTCGTAACCTCTAGAATAGGATAGGTTGATGAGCAGGGGTATGGGAGGGGGGTGGGTATTGCAAATGTAAGAAACTCCTCTCATCATCTGAAGAAGTTGGCATCTTTAAATCACTAGTTATTGAATTTGATTTCCACTCTCGATAACCTGTCACTTGCTCAGGCAAGAATGATTTGAAAAAATATTAGTTAAATGTTTGTGAAACAGGAATGTCCACATAGAGAATAATGCTAAATGTACAGACTGGGTGTAAGTTACTTGCCTTCGGCAAAATAAGAATTCTGAGACTCCAGTAGTAATCTATCACAGATATTGATTCCTCTTAGTTGGGAAGAGGAAAATTTTCTTTTTCAAGATCTCAGGTAACACTTTGTCAGTTAGTATCAATCATCACATGCTCTGTGACCGTTTATTTAACCTCCAACCAGTCATATACTATTAAAGTATAAGCTTAAGTAAGCTTAATTTGCCATTCTAGAACTTTTACCTATTATTTGTTCCAGTCTGTATGTCTGTACATAGCTCAGCATTTTATTATTATATGTACATGTAAGAGTGGCCATGAGGCCAGTGCCAGCCAAGGTTTCATTTACATGATGAAGCAACTCAACATGATTCCTTTTTTTTTTCTTTAAGTAACACAGTGGGAATCACCATCATGTTTGTTGCCAACAGCACCACAGAATACAAGGTATGCTATTTTAATGTTTTATCTTTCATTGTTTTGAAATTATCATTATTATTACTGTTATTTTTTATTAT